TACTTGCTTGTATCATTCTGAATCTCACTTTGACATCAGAGGGTCTTGCAGGTACTCCCATCTTACTTTCAACTTCTGCTCGACGTAAGCTGTGACGGTCTATTTTGACAAAGGTACGATTAGTTTTTAAATTTTTTTATATTAATTTAGTTAAAAATAATAAATAAAACTTTATGTTTATAGATATCTGCATAAACCGTAGGGACGGAGATGAGGGACAAAATTTCTCTACGACAAAGATCCGAGACAGAGATAGAAAATAAATTTAAGAACAGGGATTGAGATGAAAATATATTCTCCTTTTCGCCCTATTGACATCTCTAATTATTAAGTAGATACTAAAAAAAACTTTCTTGTGTGTAAAAACAAAAGTGTAATGAAAAATGACAAGTCTATAGATTAATCACTTTAAACATTTAACTAAGGATTCACTTTCTTTCTTTCTGCATGTCCATGTTTCACAATACTGTTCATGTCAATAAAAACAATAATGGTAGATATATCGTGCATTTGCTGCACTAATTTGTAAAAGTTTTGAATCTTGTTAATAGACTTCTAATTACTAATGAATATGTTAGGAGGAGGTTCAAGACAAAGTAAGTTAGATCTAAATTATTTAATTAAATGTAAGGTATTTAAGTAGAATAAAGAATGAGAAAGTCTCATTCAGTTTGTTATTTGGTTGGTTTGGGAGAGATTAGGCTCTCTAATCTTAGAGGTTGTGTACAGTTTATTATGTTTATCTAACTGTTGTTGCAATTGTAACTGTTATTGCAAGAAATTATTCTTTGCATAACTGCAATAAAGTATTGTGGTTGGTGTATTATTCTCTTCTTATCTATCAATACTATTCAGAATCTATCGTTGATATCATAGACAATGATCATTGGCACTGATTCATGGTTCACACGCGTCGCAAAATGGAAGCAAGATTGGAATTTATAGAAAGGGCGTATGAAAGTTTTGTCGCAACCAGAGAAGAAATTCAGGAAATGCGTAATCTGATGGAAACTCAGAAATATGAATCGCAATGCCGAATTGACGAACTGCTCGGAATTGTCTGCGGTCTCACCATTCGCAATGACAACCTAGGCTACAGTACCCATGTAATTGCACAAAATCTTCACAACTATGATGAAAAATGGCATAAACTTATGATTCTCATAGTCGAGGATGAAGATGTGTTTGGGTGGATTATCGTGTAGAGTGTTATTTTGATTTAAGGGGTGTCATTGATGAGGAAAAGGTACAGGCTGCAATGATAGTCGTGGAAGGAAAAGCATTCACTTGGTATCAATGGTGGGAATTTTGTTCGCCTTCATCGTCTTGGGACACTTTTAAGGCTGGTTTGATTAAGCACTTTCAACCGTCAATCTTTCAAAGTCCTTATGAATTGCTCCTTAGCCTTAAACAAATGGGTTCAATGGAAGAATATCATGACCGGTTTGAATTGTATGCAGGCCTCTTAAAAGCGCATAACCATATTATCTTAAGGATTTTTTTCTCAATAGGTTACAAGATGGGGTGAAAGCAAAATTAAAATTGCACCCGGTGACAACCTTGTCCGAGATGATGGATTTTGCCTAGAAAATTGATGAAAAGAATATCATCCTTAACAAAGGCACTTCCTCTAACACTCATTCTAAGCCTTTCATCAAAGGTTACTCTTCTAACCACACTGTTACTTGGGACTCCAACAATAAGGTATCCAATACAAAAACAAAAATAGTGGTTACTCCTACATCTGAGACATATAACATAAGACCAGCAACCACTTCTCGTGGGCGAGCCTTTCGCCGCCTTACAAACACGAAAATGCAGGACAAACTGGCCAAAAATTTATGTTTTCGTTGTGATGAAAAATTTGCTTCAGATCATGTGTGTGCAAATAAACAATTTCATGTCATGCTTATGGAAGGAGACGACGATGAAGAATCAGCCCCAACTATTAAAACGACAACAGAACCAACACCACATACCCTCCAATTATCCATGTACAGTATATATGGATTCACATTCAAGAAAACTATTAAGTTGTAGGGATATTTAGTTGAACAACGCGTTTTAGTTTTGGTAGATTGTGGAGCCTCTCACAATTTCATTTCCTCTTTCTTGGCTCACCAACAAGGCTTATATGTCTGCTACCACACCTTCTTTCAGTGTCGAGGTGGGAGATGGATGCAAAATTCAATGTGGAGGGGTTTGTCAACAATTAACCTTGGACATTCAAGGCCTTACAATTCAATAAGACTTGTATGTTTTTGAACTTGGCGGAGTTGATATTGTGTTGGGAATGGAATGGCTAGCACAATTTGGGGAAATTCGGGCCAACTTTGCAGACTTCTCAAAGTTCCTACACCAACAGGTACGCACATCATCCAAGGGATCCCACATTGTCAAGGGCACCAACATCTATCAAGTCTATGTATACGACACTCTCCAACCAAGGGGAAGGTTTTATAATCACATATCACATGATTTCAAAAGTAGAAGACCCGCATGCTACCACACCCACATGGATTCTACCAGTTTTGGAGGACTGTCTAGAAGTATTCACTGAATTACAAGGTTTACCGCCCCAACGGACTCACGACCATGCAATCATCTTGCAGGACGGTGTTGACATACCCAATCTATGGCCTTACAGGTACCCGCATTATCAAAAAAATGAAATTGAGAAATTAGTAGATGACATGTTGCAATCGGGAGTCATTCGGCCGAGTGTTAGTCCATACTCTAGTCATATCATCCTTGTCAAGAAAAAAGATGGTGGTTGGCGATTTTATGTGGATTATCATGCCTTAAATAAAATCACCCTGCCAAATAAATTCCCTATACCCATTATCGATTAATTGTTAGATGAATTAAGAGGTGCTACAATATTCTCTAAATTGGGCCCATATATTAATGGATTTCATTAAAGGGCTTCCCAAGAGTCAAGGTAAGGATGCTATCTTAGTGGTGATTGACAAGCTCACTAAATACGCTCATTTTTTTGCCTCTTAGCCATCTTTTTACTTCTAAATCAGTAGCAGAAATCTTCTTGCAAGAAATTGTTAGACCTTCCCCCATAGTCTCTGATAGGGACAAAAAAAATTTGAGTCATTTCTGAACAGAATTATTCAAAATGGTTGGCACTAAACTGAAGTTCAATACAACTTATCACCCTCAAACATATGGCCAAATTGAGGTAACAAATATATGCTTGGAGACCTACTTAAGATGTTTAACCGGGCATAAACCACGACAATGGGTCAAGTGGCTAGGTTGGGCAAAATTCTAGTTCAATTCCGATTACAACAGCTCAACCAAAACAACTTCGTTCAAAGCTTTATATGGTCGGGATCCATCACATTTGGTTAAGGGTACACCCGTTCCTTCAGCGGTGGAGGAAGTTAACAAGTTGACTCATGAACGAGACATCATTCTACATGACATTCGCTCCAATTTAGCGAAAGCCCATAACCAGATGAAAACTCAAGCCAATAAATACCTGGGAGATGTCTCCTTTGCTGTTGGGGACTGAATTTATCTCAAATTATAGCCATATAGATTTAATCTTTAACAAAGAAGATAAATGAAAAGCTTAATCCTCGTTTTTATGGCCCTTAACAAATTATTAAGCTCATCGATTCAGTTGCTTATCAATTAGACCTTCCTGCTGAAAGCAAAATCCATCATGTCTTTCATGTCTCTCTGTTGAAGAAAATTGTCACACCAGTCCTAAATCCTTAACCATTACCTCCTATGTTGTCAAAAGATTTAGAACTTCAAGTAGAACTCCAAGTTCTCATGGATGTCCATACTAGTGCTGCTAATGTCATAGAGGTTCTCATTCAATGGAAAAACTTGCCAGGATTTGAAGCAACTTGGGAAATATTTGATGTTATCAACCACCAATTTCCTGAATTTCACCTTGAGGACAAGGTGAAACTTTTAAGGGGCAATATTGTTAGTAGACCTCCAATTACTAATATATATGTTAGGCATAGGCCCAAGGCCAAGTAAGTTAGACCCAATATATTTAATTAAATATAATAAATTTAAGTAGAATAAAGAATGAGAAAGTCTCATTTATTCTATGCATAACTACAATAAAGTATTGTATTTGGTGTATTATTCTTTCCTTATCTATCAATACTATTCAAAATCTATCACATTTTTACTCTTAGAAGAGGTGTAAGTTCAATACCCAAAAAATTAAATGATTTCTTTTTCACCAATCCGATATCTTGTTGCACAATACAAAATATAATTTTATTTACCAATTTTGAATTGTCTAAAATATTTTTTTCATTACAAGATCATCCACTCCGTATTGTGAATTGATTTTGTAAAAGAAAATCATTTTATAGAAAAGATTATTTAGCATTGTGATTGCATCACAATAACAGTTATAACCTTTAATACAAATACATCTAAATAACGACTCTAACACCTCTACCACTTTACTATGGCAAAATACTACATAAAAAAAAAACAAGGAAGCAAAAGTGAGAGTTTTATGATGAAGCCAGAGACATCTCAAGAACTAAACTAGGTACACACCTCACGAGAATTTTACAACCTGGAGAGTAAAATTGATAAAAATTGAAAGGCTCTTGAGAATGTTTTGGGGAGGAGACATTTTCACATACAACGTGGAAGTTCTCACCAGCAACTCCCATCCACATACATACATACAATAGTTATTTTTTGACATTTTAAGTTCAAGCACCGAATTTAAAAATGATGCCATTATTTTGCAGAAGAAATTAGTACGACCACGGGTCCATACAATTAGGATGTAATTCTTTTACAAAGTTTCCATATCCTTTTGCAGCTTCTAGTCGTTAGAATTACTGGGTTGTCAAAGTAGGAAGTGCCAAAAATAAAAAATAATTAACCATGAAATAAAAATGGCTACCTTAATATCTTCTATCCTACTGACTTTGGACCAAACCTACAATTGTTTCAAAATAAAAACTTATACCACGAAGTTCACTAGGCGGATTCCATCTTCAACGCCCTTCCAGCTTCATAAACACGTTAATACAGAAATGAAAATTTCTTGATTCGCAAACTGAGGAGGTATCATCCACAAATATACATACAGGGATTCTCTTGGAAATGGACGCAATAAAAGAATTACCGATCGGCTTATAAAATAATTCATTTTGACATCATAGACGGATGAACCTGCCAAAAAGAAATACTATTGTATATCAATACGAAGAATGGCTTTGGATATGCACTTGGCAAGCCAAACCAAACCATATAATGGCAAAGAACAGAGTCAGACTACATGGAATGAGGGAGGGGTTACAAACAAAATAATGCAACGTAGCACTTCAAAGCAGTTATTCCTGTATACCTGTGACTGTGAGTGTGAAAGAAACAAGACTCTTCACCAAAACATACACAACACTACAATTACAATGCAATTTTAATAATCATTAAAAATAACTTGGTTCAAGTATATATCACAAGAAAACTAGTCAAAACTTACCACTCAAGCCATATCCATACTGTAATCAAGATTAAACAGCATGTTTCGTCGGACTTCTGAACCCAGTCGGAAATTCAAAGATCGAGCGAATGACTCGACTCGTTGATCGCTCTCATAGTCAGACTCTCGTATGCACCGCCTTCTGACCTTTTTTAGGGTTACTTTTGAAGGTTCAAATCCAGCAGCTGTCTGCAAATAAATTTGACATGTCAATGACATTTGCAGGAAATATATACTCAGTACATAAGTTTTTAAAACAGAACCATGCAGATACCATATCATCAATCACGGCTAGAGCAGATTTGACATCTCGGTTAATCAGGTGAGCATCAACAAGCAGGGTATATGACTTTGCATTAGGCTTGACACCTAAACTTACTAGGTGCTCGAACACCTTTGAAGCTTCATGTGTCTGCCAAAAGATAATTATGTAGCAAGTTATTAATGGTTTGACATAATATATAGAGGTGCTGATCAAGGAAGTTAGGGGAGAACTAAATACATTGGGAAAATGACTTAAAAGAGTCGATGTGAGGGGAAATCAACAGCTCGTGATTGGAAAGCATAAGCAAAGAATACATCATTTCAAAAGAAAGGGAAATGGTAGTGAAGAGAATGGGCAGAAGGATAGTGTAAGAAAAGGTGTGCAGGAAGGAAGATCCATCACCTTCTTGAGCTTCCCAAAGGCATACATCAGCCCATTGTACGAATGAATATCAGGCGTCAGCCCAAAAGCAGATCCAATTGATTCAAAAGTTTGGTAAGCTCGATCAAGGTCCCATATGTTAGCACATCCTAAAATGATGCAGTTCAGCGCAGCAACAGACTTGTAAGGACGCTCAGCGCGGCTTAAATTCTCCAGTTGAAAATAAACCTGAATACAACATAACAGGATTAGATCAATCTATGCAGGTACTCCCTCCGGTCTCATTTATAAGAAAAAATTAACTTTTTAGATACATTAAATAAGTAATGTATTTGGACAATATATTGTCCAAATACATTACTTATTCAATGTATATAAAAAGTTAATTTTTTCTTATAAATGAGACCGGAGGGAGTATATATCAAGGTGGCAATTTAATATATCATGCCACCAAATGTAAATGGGTAGTAATAATAAATATAAATGCTACTTATGTCAAAGTAAAACAGAATTTTGTTAATAATAAAATGTACATATAAAAAATAATAACTAAATAGGATTAGTTATGATTATGAATCCTAACAGTTAGGCCAAAGTGATAGCTTTCTTAAATGGAAAGAAGGACATACAGTATCCAAAGTCTCAAAACCCTTCTTGGAGCATGCCACAACCAATGGATGTAAAGAAGTAAATGGGCAGAATAAGTCATCAGCTTCTTGATTGGAATCTCCATAAGCAGACTCATATTCATGGAGAGTACCAAATGCCTTTTGTAAATTCCCCAATGATGCAAGGGCATACATCTTTCCAAGATAAGATTCTGGGTTCGGTAACTTCTTTTTACGCAATGAGCGGTCCAAAACAGCCCATGCCGCTCCTAGCAGCTCAGAATTATAGGTTCTACCTGCAGTCAACAAAGCTGACACGACTAAACCTTCATCTACAGAAAGCAACACAGGAGGTCTTGCATGTTCACCCTTAACAATCCATCGGGCCATAAATTCCAGGCCATAATAGGCTAACTTGCTATTATCCTCTCGAATTGCAACTTCAGCTATAAAAATACACAAGTTCCACGAGGGGCAAAGGGCTTTGTTTTGATCTGTTGCCTGCATACAGCAATGAGAAATCATATTGAAACAATGATAAGTTGATAGTGAGTCAGATACAAAATTAGGCCTCAAGAAGATTAACTACTCACCCTGCACTTGTCAATTATTGCCACCAACGTGTCAAGTCTTCCCTGTTTGACACAACTCCTCACACAGTTCATAAATAAATTCATTGACAACACGTTACCATGTTTCAGAGTTAAATCTATATATTTGAACGCAGCATCAATCTGATCGGTTGAAAAGAGCATTCCGATGACCAAGTCATATGATTCATCATCAGGGAGAGCTTCATTTCCTGACTGCAGCATCCTGATAACAAAGCACAGCTCAATAGATAATGAAGAAAACTTTTAATTTACACACATACAAATTATACAAACAGACAAACAATTTCTGTCTTAGATTTGGCAGGTACACTAATCAGCAATTGGTATGCTTCTTGGCATTTCAATTTTTTGCTCAATAATAATAAAAGATGGAGTATAATGCAAGAGCATCTTCCATACTCCTATTCAGCTAGGTTTAGGAAGCAAACCCCCTTTTAAGTGGGAGGCTATCCCTTCGTAAAATCCAAGCTTTTAGGAACTGGCTCACCTCAAAACAAATGACAAAGAATCACTCTTGTCCACCCACCATTGTATGTATTGTTTTTTCAAATGCAGTGAGATTGGCACAGAAACAAAAGTTCAGAATGAGCTGGGAATTAGACATGAAATTCTCATTTTAAAGTTATCGCTCTTAGCTCTTAACTCTTAAGAGCCTCTATTGCAAAACTTAATCAGTCTACTTATTAGTTAAATAACCTTAGGGCAATAAAACTTAGGCAGAGAAGAAGAACATAACATAATTTACGATGTGTTATAAGTTATTGTTCTTCTTCCTACTTCTAAATTATTTATATGAACAAGAACATAATAGAATGAAGAACAGAACATTACTCTTAAAAGGGTTCGAACAGTTTAAGAAAAGATTTTGAGGAAATCGACAAAACAATAATAGTGGTAACCGCTATTGCCAACAACATCTTCTGGGCCAAAAGGGTCGCGCCAAACTCTACCACCGCTGCCCTATTCCACTATAGCATGCTATATTGACAAGACAGCATAGCATAAAGTTAAATTATTTCAATATAAGTTCAGGTTATGAACATATCATAATTTGTTTCCAAATGCTCTTCCAAACTACCTCACAATATATAAACTGTACAAAGAAAATCCAAACACTGCTTAATCAATAAACAAACCAAGAACTTTTTTTCACCATTTGTAATCCTAAATGAAATGATCTCGCAACTAAAGAGAACAAACCAAATCTTATTCAATCCACAACAAAAAAAATCAAATATAAACAATGAGATGATCAAACCGTTCGAGAAGTTTTTCAGCAGCAAGCGTTTCACCAGCCTGATGCATAGCCTTAAGAACCAAATTAAACGACGCTGTATTCGGCAAAATCTCAAAATGCTCCATCTGAGCTAACAAATCAAGCAAATCAGCAGCAGAAGCTCCCATCATAAGATTCGCCCTAAGATAATGATTAAACAGATTCACATCAGGCTTATTAGGTTTCCCATTTTTATCCAACGACCTAACCCAAGCCTCAAACAAATCCTTCACATCATGCCACTGTTGCGACGCCATCCAATCCCCGAACATGTTGAGAAGCGCGTGGGAATCGTAGGTTTCAGAGAGTGAAGCGCGCGTGACGAGACCAAACGGAGCTACCGCGTTTGAGTTTGAGGATAGGGGTTTGGGGAGAGGATTTCGCCAATTCTCGTTGTAGAGTGGGCTTCCGGAAGCGGGATTTGGAGGAAGAGATGAAGGTGTTGGTGTGAGTGTTGGTTCTGCGAGTTCGGGTTCTTGGTTGAGAAATGGGAAAGTTGAAATGGTTTTGATTGTGATGTTGGTTGATTTGGATTTTGTGAGAAGAGAACGAGTTCGATTTAGGATCGCCATTTGTGACGCCATTGATGAACTCGAGAGAGTGAAGTATGTTTTGGTGTTTAGCGGATTTAGGGTTTGTTTTTGGTTCGGAGTTAGGTCCGGTTTTCTGGGATGGTCCGATCGAGAAAAGAGATGACGAAAATTCGAATTTGGGTTTAAGCCAAGAAATGTGGCATATGTTCTATGATTTCTAATTGGATGTTGCTATTAACACCCTATTTTCTATATCTAAAATTCAAGTTGGTCTATTTTACTTAATTTGCATTAAAAAAAAGGTAGGTCCCAAAACATAATAGAGATATAGAAAACATTAAAGATTAATTTAAACATAATGTCATGATCACATCAAATACATAATAATGTAAAAAATTAACTTCAACAATAAATAGTTTAGTGTTATACTCTAAATTTTGCCCCTAAGATCTTACATCACTCCACATTATCATAATGCATCAAGATCACATATTATGATTGATTATCTCTTTTACTCTCTCATATCTGTAAGTTTGTCCTTGAGGGATCACCAAACACCTTGAATTGTGTATCTTGTATATGTGTATCTTATGGTTACGAATCCTTAACTAACATAAAAAATATGTATATATGTTTCCTTGGATGTTTATATTGTAGGTGCTAACACAATTACATCCATCTCACCACCTAACTAAGGGCTTTGAAGGTTGATCTTCAGCCAAATGGTTATTCAATATATTTTAAAAGCTTGAACAGGCAAAATTACCCTGCCAAACTCTCTACACAGTTCACATTTCTGAGTTTTCGAAATCACAATTTCCTCTCTTCCAGATCCAATTTCTTTGTTCATTCTTCATCCTTGAACTTCCTTGAAGCGAACACAACAAGAATCACGCCTTGAAGTGTTTTAAATCGTGTTAACCAAGTCATGTTTCAGAGCAATTTCTTCAAACTTCGTTCAGGTAGTTTAAGGCATCAAAGCTCCTAACTCAAATTACGGGAATGGTCTATGATGTTCACTAATACTTGCTATTGATTTAATTTTGATTAATTGATGCATTTGATGCATCTTTTTTCGAATTTAAAATTTTCAAAACTCTTCAGTTTTTTCCAAATCGAGTGAGCTACACTTTAAATAAAGTTTTCGCGAGCATGTGGTTGAGATCGTCTTGAAGAGACGAATCCAAGGATACCAATCTTGAATGCTATTTTCCCCGTTCACGGGACTTGCAAATTGTGTGTTTCTGTTGACTTTTCAACTATATGAAGGTTGAAGATGATGACATGAACGTCTTTAACTAATCAGAGCTCCACGCATGTTTTTGTTTTATATGTTTTTTCAAAAATGATTCAGTGTGTTATTCACTATTGACCATAACATGTACAGTGTGTCAGGTCCCTTGGATCTGATTACTAATGTGTTTTGACAATGATCGGACGGTCCACATTACATAGGCTTTATTTTATTTTATGATTTTTTTTATTTTTAATTGTTTTAAACTTCAAAAAATCATAAAAAATTTAATTCAAGTTTAAAAATCATCGAAAAAAATCACAAAAATAGTTTTGAATATTCTCTTTTTGATACTTATTTTTTTCATAATTTTATTTTATAATTAGATTTTATGATTTTTCTCATCTTTTGAATTGTTTTAATTATTTAAAATGTTTTTAGAATTTTGAAAATTATGAAAAAATTATGGAATGATTCAATGACATTCTAACAAATATTGGTGACCTTATTTGATTTTATTTTTTATTTTACTATTTTTTATGATTTTTGGTTTATTTCACTTAATTCTTTATATTTTAAAAATAGTTTCTGACTTTTAAAAATTATAAAAAAAAAGTGTCAACACTTGTTGACCTCTATTTAACAATTGAAAATTTTATTTAATTTTTATTTGGTGTTTTGATACCTTTTGAGTATTTCATCAATAAATTCTAATTAAATAACCATTTTTAAATCATTTTTATATTTTATTTTAAGGGATTTTTATTTGATTTGATTTGATTCTGACTTACTGATACATGAACACTTCTTGAGTCATAAATTTCCTCAATATCAATGGAACTTGGGTGTTGATAGGTCAAAAGACCAAATCCACCAAGATGGTTGATTGATTTTGAGGAAGTTAGACCTAGTTGTGATTCATTTGAGGCATTGGTTACAGTTTGACTTTCCCTTTTCCCCTTCATCTTATTCCATTTTTTCTTTTCCTATTGATTGATTCTTAGTGGCCAAAACTTTATATTTGCAAGCCCAAGTATGATTAAGTATTGAGATATGGCCAATAACTTTGAAAGTTCATTGTTAGGAGACTTTGATTTTATCAATCCTCTAATGAGTCTTCATCAACTTTGAATTATGCTTAAGGCTCAAATCATCATGGATCATATCACTTGGATTTATCCTCATTTATTTTTATTTGTTTGGTTCTTAATGGTCTGAACTTGGTGTTTGTAAGCTCAAATATGATTAAATATTGAATTATGGCCAATAACCTTGAAAGCTAATTGTTAGGAGGCTTTGATTCTATCAATCCTTTAATGAGTCTTCATCAATTTTGACATAGGCTAAATGTTCAAATCATTATGAATCACTCATCTAAAAAAAATTCCCAACCATCAACTGTTAATTATTAACTTCTAACTATTAACCATTGACAACTTACTTTTCTTTATGCTTTTACTTTATGCATTTATTTTATGTCTTTATTTTATATCATTTACCTTTAAGAATTTATATCTCATGTGTTGTACCTCAAAATTTTCTCTCTCATTTCTCAAGTAATCTCTGACAAGATCTTCATGGATTCAAGACTACACAAGGTTTGATCAACTCAAGACACCTTCTCAAGCACTGATAACTGAAAATTAGGGTTTGAGTTTGCACAAGGACAAATGGAATTTTAATACCCATATGACTTTCATGGATCATTTTGGACCCTCGAGATTGTTCATGTCAAGTTTCAAGTCTTGGATCACATTTTTACTCAGTCAATTGATTAGTTGACCTAAAATCAGTTGTATTGGAGAAAAAGTCAATTGTGGTCAATTTACAGTCAAACTTCATAATTTTTGGTACATATCAACATCATGAACTCATATATGTCAATTGATCAAGTTTGGATCATAATTCCTCAAGAAATTTGATCAGATCATCAAAAGGGCAAAATGGTCAAAATTAGGGTTTTGACTGAGAAGGTGCAATTTTTGACTTTTGACCTAACAAATGACTTATTGGTTTGAGACATGATATCAAGAATTCAAATGCATCATTTTGACCTAATGGCGTGGCTCAAAACATCTCTCAAGATCATTTGATTGACATATGAATTTCAGTCAACTGATGAAAAGTCAACTGTACACTAAAAAGTCAAACTTTGACTTTTTGGTCAAAATCAAGCTTCAAAGATTACAATTCATCAAGACATGTCAAAATATGAAACTTGTTCATCAAGAAATCAAAAAGTCAAAATTCATTCTTGAAAAGTCAAAATTTCCAAGACTTAGAATTTTTCTAAGTGTTGAAAATTCATGTTTTTTTTATAACTTTGAGTCAAATTTCCACCATGATGCAAGATGATTCAAAGGAAACTTCCAACATGAAAGTTGTACATCTCAATGAGATCTAAAACATTATAGGGCAGAACTTTTCCTAGAAATGATTAGATTTTAAGTTATGATTTTGTGAAGACATGTTCATGAATCTTGAAAAACTTAGTGAAATTTTGCCCTAGTTAGGCAGGATTTTGACTTAACTTCATGGAAATTTTTCACCTAGTTCCAAATTGAATTTTCAAAAATGTCCAACATGAAGGTTGTATAGGATGTTACAAGATTTCCAATATGTCCAAGAAATCATTAAGATCATACTTGAGCTAAGAGAATCGAAGCCATGAAGTTAGGGTTTCAAACTTGAATTACAAGCCATTTCTTGATGAACACATAATCCAAACTCAATGTTAGGCTGAATAATATTTCTTTGCAGGTATTCTAAATTGTGTGTGTTGTACCCCAAAATTTTCCCTCCCATATTCTTCAAGGTTTATCAAGATCAATCTTCAAGATTCCTCAAGGGTTGCACAGTCCAATTGCCTCCTAAGGCAGTCAAAATTAGGGTTTTGGTTCTTGCAAGGAAGTTGAGGTTTTCAGTGGTCCAATCAAGTCCCATATGCCTATACACATTGTCAAGCATCCACATGTCAAGTTTCAAGGTTCACAATGCCAGTTTGCACAGTCAAAAGTCTCATTTACTTCACAGTCAACTACAGGGGCAAAATGGTCATTTTACAGTTAAAAGTCAGAATTTTTGGTCAGCATCTTATTTTGAGCACACAATCATCATTTGATCAAGTCTTGATCATGATTCCACAAACATGGCTCAAAAATCATCAAGATGTCAAAAGTTTCCATTTTGGGACAGCTGAAAAGTCAACTGTAACTTGACCAAGGCATAACTTTTTCATGGTTCATCAGATAAATCCCATCCAATTCTTATTTTGAAGGAGATGACATTTCATACAACTAATTTTCACATTCCAAGTCCAAGAAATGCTCTCACAAAAAGTTATCAATTTCTACATTATAGGTCAGTTTTAAAAGTCAACAAAAAGGCATTTTAAGTCAAAGACCATAACTTGAGATTGGTAAATCAAAATGACATGGGACCAAAGGTATTGGTTAGAGGACTTCAAGACCTTTCCAAAATGTCCAAGAACGTGTTCATATGATCAAAATTGAGCAAGATATGCATTGGAGAAGTTGGGAAATTTTTGGGAATTTGTAAAAGTCAACTTTGCCCAAAACACCTCATTTTTGCTAATGGGCCTCAAATTCCTTCTTGAAACTTTGTCCAAAGCCTATGCACGACCCATTGAGATTAAATTGATTTATTTTCTTATTTTTATTAATTATTTGGATTTTTAATTGATTATTAATTCATTTAATTCATTTAAATGTAGGAAAATACCAAGATATGTTTTTCAAATCTTTTGTGAAGCAAATACACTCAGGGCAAGCTGGAAGTTTCGTGCATCCATCAAAGA